GTCTGTCTGTCTGTCTGTCTGTCTGTCTGTCTGTCTGTCTATTTGTCTGTTTGTTTGTTTGTTTGTTTCTGTGTCTGTGTGTCTGCTGTATAAAGATCCCGATTTCAGGGGCAGGTATCAAACGCTTGGAATCTCTCCCAGCATCAGCCACTCATTCACTATCGGCTGTGTGTATGGGTGTGTTTGTATGTGTGTCTTGTCACACTCGTTCTGAACACAACGCAGTATATGTATATACCTCGTATCAGTCGGTCCAAACAAAAGCAGACCAAGCCTCACCCAAGCCGAGAGCTAAGACAGACCAAGCAAAGCCAAGGCGAATAATAAAGGGGGTTGGCGGAACGAAACCCGACGAGTTTCTCACAGCCTCGCCATCCCCGTCGTGTCTCTCCTCGAGGACGACGTATTCCACACCTGCACCTCGGGAATCTCTGCATAGTTGGCCGGGAAGAGCGCGGGGCCCGACACCTTCTTGGATACCTTGCCCGTGGCGTTCTTGGGCAGTTCGCCCTCGATGACGCGCAGGATCGTCGGGAGCTTGTACCGCGCCAGTTTGTCGCCGAGGTCTTTGCGCAGTTGCGCGAGTGTGAGGGCCGTGCCGCTGCCGGTGGGACGGTACGAGTATGTCGTCTGGTCGTCGCGCAAGGTCACCGCGGCGGCGACGCGCTGGCCCCATTCGGCGTCGTCGACCCCCACGACCATGACCTCGTTGATGTACGGCAGGCCCAGGCACTCGCGCTCAATGTCCAGCGCCGAGATCTTGTAGCCGCCGCACTTGAGGATGTCGACCGACGCACGCCCCAGGATGAAGTAGTACTCTCCCTCGCGCCGCCCGATGTCGCCCGTCTTGTAGAAACCATCCGAGTCGTGCGCGTCCCGCGTGGCTTGCTCGTCGGAGAGGTATCTGCACAAGTTTGCGCGCGGGAGGGTTAGTGCCAGTGATGGGGTTTTCTTTCTAGGGATAGGCCAAAGGAAAGGAGAACAGAGGGTGTGACTCAATTCAGATGTAAAGAAACAGCCTCCAAAATCATTTGGGGAAATGGGGATTGGCTCATTTTTGCAAAGGGCAAAAAAGGAAACACGACCTGCACATACCCCGTAAACATGCTCGGGCTCTTGATCAGGATTTCGCCTTCGTCACCACCGTCTGCGAACCGCACTTCCACCCCAGGGGAACACGTGCCCACGGAGCCCGAAGGCGTGTTCCCAGGCTCCAGGGCCATTTTGAAAACAGCCCCAGACTCGGTACTTCCGTAGCGCGTCAGGATGCGTTTGCCGCCCCTGAGGTTCTCCCAAAATTCCTCCACCGGTCGGGGCAGGGCGGACGTGCCGCACAGCATGCCACGTATTTGCATTGCCGCTGCAGCAGCCGTAGCGGAGTCGATGGATGTACTAGACGGAGGAGGCGAGGAGGAAGAGGCAGATCTTGACGACCCCACCTGGCCTTGCTGGAACTGGCGCATCATCCGGACGTACATGGTGGGCACGCCCGTGAAGAAGCTAATGCCACCCTTCCTCCACCGCTCCCACGTCCACTCGGCGCTGAACGGCCCGCTGCGGAATTCGATGCAGGCGCCACGAATCAGGAACGGGTAGAAGGACAAATATGCTCCCGTGGCATGGTGTACGGGCATGAGGTGCAGGATACGGTCGTCCTCTGTCACCTTGTAGTGGTCGGCTACGGAGCGCGCGACTTCGTGGGTCATCGCTCGTCGGTGTACCGCCCCCTTGGGTTTCCCCGTTGTCCCGGACGTAAAGATCACGAACGCCGGGGCGTTGTCGTCTAGATATCTGTCGGAGGAGATTGAGATATCGGATGGTCGATGGCTCCAATGCCGGAGGGAGGGGGCGATCAAGATCTTGGAAAAATCGGCCTTCTTGCGCTGGCTCCTGACGGTCTTTTCCAAGGCGGTTCCCTGGCTGTCCAGGTTTGAGGCGGTCAGGACTGCCACGCACTGGGCCTTTTCTATAAAGTAAGATGCCTCTTCTAGAGGTGCTTGTGGACCTATTGTGCAGAAAGTCTTAGTCTTTCCAGACGACATACGTTCTGAAAAGACAGCTAGCGACGTTGATAGACTTACTGATGGGCACTACGACGGCTCCTAATGCGAGAACGCCGAGAACTCCCACGGTGTACTCATAGCCTCCAGCAGCCAGCACGGCGATGAAAATGGGTCGGCTGCCTCGTACCAGGTCATCTCTCGCTGTCTTGCCCAGGCGTTCTAGCAGGTCGTTTCGCATCTCCAGAACGTCAGTTAGCAGCTGGATGCGAGACTTTTCGACGTCGAGGTTGACATCGGCAATGATGGTCTTCGCAGGCGCATCGTGGGCCAACCGCAGCAATCTGCCGAAAAAAGGACAGTTGGGAAAGACATTCCGGCCCTGGTGCGGAGGCACAAAGTCGGCACGGTCTGGAATATGCATTTCGCCCTGTATCTCGTTCCGGAAATGAGGTTCACGAACAAATCTCAGGTCGAGGCTAGATTGCTCTTCTTATACACTGCACAGCACTGTTGTCATTCTGACCAAAGCCAGGGGGCGAAGATGAAAAGATAGGACTATCATAACTCAAGTCTCTCTGTCCTTCAAGTCGAGTAGGTACGAATATGTTGTCCAGGCTGATCCACATATCGCCGAGGGGGTTTGGGACAAGCGGGAATGCCGAATAGGAAGAAACACTTCGGCCGTTGTCCGGAAGCGTTTTGCTAAGGCTCAAAGATCAACTATTTGGAGATACGGTCCAGGCGCCGGTCATATGATCGGGTATGGGTCGGATTAATTCGCCAAAAGGTACTTGGTAGACAATGTGTACCAACGAATATCTGGAAAGAACCTTGGGAAAGTTACTCAAGCCAATGTCTCGGCGGTGCCGTATACAAACGAGACTCGTATCCTAAATCGACGATATGCTATTCATACGTGCTGGTATTGGCAAGACATGCTTGATTCTCCCGGATGGTAAACTCGATTTGCTCAGAATTTCGGTCGACATCTCAACAAAGGGTGTCATTTACAAAGTAGTCAATTAGGTGGATGGATCGTCGGGCAAATGACTCCTCTTCTGGAACGCCAGTACCAGTGACCTCGAGCCGGGAATAGGGCCACTTGGGAAACGCCGGCGACAATTTCCCAGATTTTGAGTACCCGGGGGTTTCGTGGAGAAATCGAGAAATCTCCACAGACGGAGATTGTCTACTCCATTGATTCTGTTTAGGGTCCTCTGTGTGGTCTCCCTAGGAGAAGACTCGTTGTGTGAATAGAGCAGTAGGTCGATAAAATACCCGACAAAGGAGCAGGGTATTGTACTTACCATACAATTACCCGCATTTGCCGCGCCGTCGGCTGTTGTCGATCTACTCCTCTGTCCTTCAAGGTTTTCTCTGAGTCCAAGTGCTGCCAGTGGCAGAAACGGGATTTCGTTTGTGGAACCTGGTCCTTTCTCCAAATCTTCCCCTCCGTAGACTCTGCACCAGATGTTTTGAGGCGGTAAACAATGCCCCAGGGCCTGAAACCAATATGTCTCGACTTAACCTTAGTAGGGAAGCCATTGGAAGGTAGGACATACAATAAACTCATATTGCGTCGCTACGCAAAGCACCCAGCAAGGTGATATCTACCTCAAGTCCTGCAAAAGGCGTTCATGAAGCGACATGAAAAGGTGGTCGTCGTCGTCAAAGTCAAGTCCTGACCCCAGGCTGTTGTCACCACCAATCCAGTCGCTGTTATCGTTAGTAAACCATGAGTCTGCCGCTGTGTAATCTTGGATCTCTCCAACTGGCGCACCCAAGGCGATCGACAAAGGCTTTAGTGAGGCAGCAGTTGTCAGTTCCCGCATGGTACTGTCAGAGGCCGCCATTGAGTCCGGTCGCATGCTTACGGCATTGAGGTTCGCGAGACTAGAAGGGTTTTGGACGCGGGCATTGGGTTTCTCCTGAAGGTCGACCCGTGCGGCGTCCATTGCCGTCTTAATTATATGCCTCTTTGGGCATAATTCTTCCGGGATCATCTCAAAGAATGACAGCTGCTCGGGAGAGAGATCCAGGTCAGTCAGAGGGCGATCTGTCTCCGGTCCGCGCTTCACGGTGTTGACGAGCTTCGTCAGAATCCGCAGAGCTCTCCGTGCAGAATGCCAGGTCTGTGCCATCTCATGCAGGGCCTTTTGAATCACCGACAATTCAACTTTGGAGACGTTCCAAAGTGGACTGAAGTTGAAGCAACATAACTGCGGCAGAGCAGCCACTCTGAGGTAAAATATGGTCATTGGGGCCAGACACCTGAGCTGGTCGCGAGCCAGGAAATCTTCGAAGATCCGCGCGACACACGAGGAGGCGAGGATTGGCGCTACTGATGTACAGTTACCAGACCGCCCGGGTCCGTAAAGAATGGATACAGCGGTGAAGTATATCAGGTATAGCTGGCGGGCCTCAAAATCATAATCAAGAGCATTGTTGAGCTTCAAGCAGTCGGGTAGTTGATAGATCCAGCGCTGAAGACTGCGGCCAACCTCAACTGGTGCCCAATGGGAATAACCTCCGCTCAGAGCTTTGCCACATTGCCCCAGGATCGAGCAAATCTCGACATATGCGACAAAGAGTCGAGCATTCTTGTTGTCTTGAGGGAAGTCGGCGACAGTGGGTAGACCGATATTGCAATCAACCAAATTTATGGCTCGGGGGCGGCCTTGAGCGATAGACAGTTGACAATCTCGCGACTAATTCCAGTCAATGGGTGCGGCGATGGAGGAGAAGGACGGGAGAAACTCACGAATAGTGTCCAAAAGAGTCTTCGTCGCAGTTTGCACTTGACGGAAGTCGGATCTGGTTCACGATGTAACCCTATCTGATACCCCAGCCCGACTGCGGTCCTAAGCCAGAAGCCACTCGAATGGATTGAAACGTGTTCAGGCCCGCTTGGGTTGTACCATTGCATCAAACACAGTGCACTAATCGTGTTCAGGGGATCCGTCTCAACATCCGCGAAGAACAACGCCTTGGCTTTGCTGTAAAAACTCGCACAGTCTGAGTTGGGTGATCGCGCTGTAGGTTGGACTCGGCTACCAGCGACGAGAACAGCTTGGGTCAGGAGTAGTGACCCTCCAGGCGTTGACGAGGTAGGTCCCGAGCCAGTATTCTGGAGCTTCAGGTCCTCTATCTCCACCACCGGCATCCAAGGACTGCAGATTTTGAGAAAGTTGTCGATAAGGCCATCCCGCACCGGCCTCGGTGGGAAATCAAATGCTTTGAGCGACTGTAGATACGACATTTCGGCATCACCCCTGGAACACTTGGGCGCCTCGCCGTCAGAGTCTCCTTCTGTGGCGAACTCCCCTGGCAGATACTCGGGTCTGCCAACATAGGCGAGGTTTTCACCGGCAGGGGAGCTGGAGTTGTCATACTTTGCTGTTTTTGTGATGCAGTGTTCAGTGCTGGCTTCTTCTGCTGGTGGTGGTGGTGGTGGTGGTGGTTGTGGCAATGTGCAATCTTCGACTGGCTTTATGAGCGACGAAGGATGCTGTTCCTTCTGCATCCCTGGAGGAACGCGGATATCACGCAGACGCACCAGATCATGTCGCTTTCTCCTGTGAGGTCTGAGGGAGCATTAATGATCAGCGAAGGACTTGAAGGGCAGGCAAAACTGTCGTCTGGCTGACTCTTACATGCATTGAATGCTCTGGAATCGACAATTGGAACAGGGTTCTTGGCCACGGACGAGATCGCAACGGATCTACGTTCCAGCTTGTCAGTAAACCTGGAACTAAGTATCAAACTAGATCCAGAGTACTTGCCTTCCGTTTATGGCAGCCACTACATGCTTGTCTGCTCCTTCGTCCAGATCCTGGCGTGGCTCCTGTTGGGGGAGGACTGGATGGCATGTTGACTCAGGCGGTGACATTTTCGAAGCTCAAAGCTTGGATCTATTCCAAATGGACCATTTAGTTTGGAATGGCTCACGGCACAAAGTCCTCGGCCTTACCCCGCCACTGCCCGCCTCGTGGTTTTGGTCTGTGCGGAGTGTTGCCCTTGTCTTCTCCTGTCGTGGTCCACCACTGGGGCCGGACCCGGCTAACTTGTCTCCGAGGCGGATGCATCTCGCAGGATAGGCTCTCTTGTGCGACAAAAGGATAGGATAGCTCTGGTGTTTGAAACAGCCTCTAAAGCTCATCTGAGGGCGTCCAGTACAGTCTGTGGTACGTAGTTGGCGCATGAGAGAAGGGAATGGATAAATGCCAAGCCATCGAGCTTGTAATGACAAGGGCGCAGATCAAAAGACTGCGCACTCGAATTTCTAATTGTCAGTGTCTCGCTGATTGAATTCCTTCCTCCCAGGCTCAAAACACAAGACTGCCACACTGCGAATCCCACGAAGAAAACACCCAAAACAATTCACAAATCTTTCAGCATGATCCAATCAATCTGAATGCACTTGCCCATCTTGAACTCATGGTCGCCGACTTTGACGAACCCTAGTCCCTCGTACACCTTCTGCGCTCGAAAGTTGCCTTCCCAGACACCCAGCCACATTGCCCGGTATCCTAGTCGCCGAGCCACACCCTCGATTTGGTTGGCCAAGAGCTTCCCAACTCCATGGCCGTGGCATGCTGTCGAGACGTACAAGCGCTGCAGTTCGACGACAGACTCGACGTCGGAAATGCAGGGTTCGGAAGTGCCCTCTGTGAGTTGGGCAAAACCGATGATTTCCTGTCCACTGGCCTCGTCATTGTTGGCTGTTTGATCCTCTAAACAGGTGACGAGAATATGCTTTGTCGCACACCGGATGTCTTCTTCAATAGCCTCGACGCTATACGCCTCGGTCAGGTAGGCCTTCAGATCGTTTGTAGGAATACTGAAGCCAAAGGTCGTAGCAAAAACGGTGGCACCCAATCGTGCAATTGCTGGGGCATCAGCGATTGTGGCCGGCCGTATAGAGAATGCTAGCTTTTTCCTTGGTGGCAGCGGGTCAATGTCTATCGGCTTGGTTCGTAGTTGAACAGCTGCGGGTGATGAGATGTGTGCATTGTAGGAGTATTCTAGATATTCTGAATTTGCGGGGATAGCTAATGATGGCGATGTTGGTAGCGGAGGCGGGTGTTGTTGGTGAACAAGCATGTTTGTTTGTGCTCTGACAACTTTGCGATTTGCTGTGTCTGGTGGATGATAGGCACAAACCCCCCTGGGAATAACGTCAAGATCAGATGAATCTATGCATGAACCAAAAGGGCCATTCTAGTGTGTATATATCATCCAGTCCTGGATATGAGAGCAAGCTCTTGAAAGATACAAACGGGCAAGTGAGATAAGCCATTCCCTTAGCGGGCAAAAAGAGAGCCGACCTGGTGCCCTACGCCCTACGCTTTACAGTCCCTTAGGCCCACTCAAGAGTCAAATTCGCCCACCATGGAGGCGGGGAAAAATGAAGTCTCGTTTCTGATCCGCCCTGAGACTGATACTTTTGTTCTGTTGGGCTCTTGTCGGTTAGCACGCCCAGCACGCCCTTTGACCACCAACGGAAAGTCTTGAAATGACGTGGCGAAGTCTACGCCCTTTTCCAAATTAATGATCCAAAGAAATAAATAAGTCAAATGACCGGACTTGGCCGGTGGAGACTTTGTTCTTATGAAACCGTTACTTCAAGAAATCAAAGGGGCGACAAGAGGTCGACAGAGGTGTATGCCGCGAGTATCCGACTCCAGCCTGCAGAATTCGCTCGAGGACAAAGCAAAAAAGCACTCGTAAAGAGGTCGTTGGCAAGAAGCATGATTCATTCATCGTCAACAATCCTTGGTAGGGAAACACATATTGTCTGTCGGCCATATCCGGACAAGGTAATTCCGCTGTCACAAAGAACTTGGAACAAGGTATGGGAATTCTACCATGGAGATGTTGAAAGAGTCAATCATTCATCCGCGTTGACATGGGTAAGTCACCAGGGAACATGAAGCGAACTCACCAAATTTCGCAGCTGAAATGTCCTAACAACTACTTCTTCTTGGTCCCATCCTTTCCATTCTTTGCCTCCTTTTCGTTGGTGTCTTTCGCATCCTTTCCTTGACCCTTGGTCTGATCGTCATCTGTTTTTCCCTCTGTATCTTCAGACTGTTCTTCATCTGACTTGGGCTCAGTGTGCCCGGTCACAAGAGCTTGCCAGACAGCGTATCCAGAGATCAAGACACCAACCCCAAACACGATTTTGAGGAGCGTTTTCGCAGGGCCGCCGTACTTGAGGACCCAGCTGGCGATCCATTGCATAGCAGGAGTGACCAGCTGCTCTCTTTCTCTGTCGAGGTCTGGATTCACCGTGCACAGCAAGGCCATCAAAGCAAGCAGGATCAAAAGCAATGTGATAACGGTCACCACCTGGATGACAGCCAGCAGAATGGCAATGTTTTTGGTCGTTTGGAGTACTTCGAACCCAGCGGCGACCAGGGGCGTAACTTGTTCGAACGCCGAGTGAATCTCCTTGGAATAGGGAAGGCCCATTTTGTTACCGCTATGAGGTGGCGCTATGTCTCTGGGGTATAGGGGGTGTTGGACAGGAAATCCCACAGAAAAACTTACCGGAATGATGGATAGATCTTGATACCACGAGGTGGTGATCTCACGGTTTTTTAATAAACAGGGAGTTTTTGAACATGTCAGTGTGATGTCATATGCCCCATGGCACAACGAACTCAGCCTTGTCGCCTACAGTCTGGGGTTGACACTAAGAGGCTTCGGTCCAATAGTAATATGTTGAATATCATGGATAACTTTGAGAAACGTAAGAGTAGGTTCTAAAGAATGATGAGAACACTTTTCGAGATTGTCAACTGCCGCAAGCTGTGTTTGAGTACCGAGTACAGAGGGAACATCAGCCTCGTCTTCTGCAAATATAAGCCTTGTCAGTCTCAGCCTGGGCTTGGCAGGGACTCTCTCCACCTCGCGTTTCTCCAACCGTGTTCAGATCGGAATTGGCGTTCAACAAAGGAATCACCACAGACATCCTCGCTGCACTAATGATAGTGTAAAGCACAGGCTGCTGTCATCTTCCGACTTTTGAATTTTCCTTGCATCTACTCTAGAGGCCATTTCCTCTGGTCTCGCACGTCACAATGCACAGCGCTCTCACTCGGCTCCAATCGACCTTTGGGTATTTTACCAGCTGCGCCTTTACCCTCGCTTGCATCATTGCTGTGCTCTCCATAATACCCTTACCTCCTGTGACAGACTCACCAAGCGCCTCAATATCTGTCCGAAACGTCCAAGTTGTCAAAGGTCGTCCGCACTACTACTCCCCCAAACGCGAAGAATACGCTCAAATCAGATTTGATCTGGAAGCCGATTTGTCCAGCCTGTTCACGTGGAACACGAAGCAACTGTTTGTCTATGTCACGGCAAACTACCCCGGTGGGAAGAGTGGCGATGGGGCAATGTCTGAAGCTGTCATCTGGGACACAATCATCCAGGCAACATCGACCCCGTGGTCATGGCAGAATTTGAAAGAGGCCTACTTTCCCGAGAAGAAGTCAAAATCCAAGAGCAGGAAGTCCTCGAACACAAAGTCCAAGACCAAGGATCTTGTCAAGCCAGGGGTCATCTCCTTAAAGAATCAGAAACCAAAATACCAAATCACCGACCCCAGTGGTGTTATCAGTGAGAGGGCCAATGCTACTCTCCAAGTCAGTTGGAATGTGCAGCCTTGGGTTGGTGCTCTCGTCTGGGACAAAGGATATTTAGGGGGCAGGGTTGGAAAATGGACACCTGGAAGCGTGGGCAGGAGTGAAACCTTCGAATTCCCTCCTTTGAAAGGGGCAAAGACAGATGTTGTCAAAGACACTGAAGGACCAAAGACGCCAAAAGCGGCTTCAGCCTCTCCGGTCGTCGAAATATAATAACAATGCAATGGTCCCTGCCAGAATCCAGATCCCTTCGGTCCTCCGGCAACATAAATGATACAAATGACATGGCCTGAGTTTGCCCCTCTGACATCAACAGAGTCGAGAATTGCGGACTGTGAATTTATGGCTGAGACAACGTCCTATGCATTCATATTTTTGCTGGCGGCATTCCGGGCTCCGAAACCATTTCAGTCAAACCCTTGTCCCTGGTCTTCAGGTACGTGCCGTGGCCACCACGAAAGAGTAAGTGGGAAAGAAAAAGGCCGGGTTCGTGAGTTGACTTGTCGTTGGTTGACTGTGCCTACTTCGGGGCTTTAGCCGAGGACGACGTTTGAGACGTGGACATCCGGGTTCATCCGTCGAGAGGCAAGAAATGCGATCGCTCCCAAATGCAAGACACAAGCACATTTGACCAATTCCCATTTAGAGCGCAAAGAGCCAATGTCATCGAACGGGGTTACGCCATCCTTTGTCTTCTTAAGTCCTTTAAAGCGAGCGAGCCAATCAGATGAGCCTGAGCATTCCACAATCGGAAGTGACTCCCGGAAACATGGAGTCCGCCGATTTTCGCTGGAGCGAATCAGGATGCGCATATCTTCTACAGTAGAGAGTGCCTCTGGAGTATTTAATCGTGGCTAGGAATTGCAATGGG